ACAACGCGAGTTATGCTCGATTTTTTGCCGATTTTTGACACACCACGCCAAAAAGGTTGCCCATCACTGGTCTAACCAATCCCACACCTTTGCAGAAAATTGCCATGACCTGCTCTGTTTTTAGGGCTGGTCTGAACTATCGGTTTCAGATGGTCAAAACTGAACTAGGTTGATCTTCTAGATGTTCATGCTTCAAGTTGTTTGGGATCAATAGATTCCCAATTTATGTACTGTATTGGCAAGCCGATGTTGCATCACCTTCATGAGAAGCAAATAGTTTTAGGCTAGAATGTTAGCTTTTTGTTACATTCTTACAGGTGCCTTGTCTAGGTCAAGCTCCTCTGTCCTCTGATATTTCTATAATACATGAGGTTTAAGGGAATCTTTTCAGTTCCTGCTGTACTGTTTCTCTTCTTGTAAAAAAACAGAAGCATGGTTTGACTGTATGAAAGCTAAGCAATTAAGATTGCTTCAACATTACTCGAAGGAAGAAAAGTTGTACACCTTCCCATCTAAAAATATTCTTGGAAATCAACTTTACACCTTTCCACAACTAGGCTTCACTTCAGCATATAAATCAAGAGCATGTCCACGATTTTCTGATTTCTATATAACTGCAAAATGTCAGGTTTCCCCCCCCCCCATCATCATTGTATCTGGTCAACATAACTCCGCATTGGCAACAGGAAGGGCATCTGGCCAGTAAACACTCAGTTCCATTCAATTGCCCAGACTCCATCCGAGAAGGGATTATGGCGTCATTAAAAGAAGAATAACTATCATTATTTCTATTCATGTGAAACCTACCGTATCTTTTCTAGTTCTCTTAAATAAAATATTTAAATGTGGCTGACAAAGAGACTGGAGAACTAAAAAGGAATTGTGATTAATTCTAAATTGGAAATAAGCTTTCTTTCAACAACAGAACCTGCTCCTTTGTAAAAGCAGCTGTTAAGCAAATCATCAGGATCACTATGCAAATCCAGCTTCCCCAATGGGTTTGGTTTTTTTTTGCTGGAAATCACATGAACACAGGATGCTGCAACTGGTCATAAACGTGAGCCAGCTGTCCAAGCACCCCAAACTGTGATCAAGTGACTGTGTGGGTGGTGTGATGTTTGTGAGTGTGAGTACAAGTCATCAGTCACTTTGTCCAAGATTGCCGTAAATTTGAACCATCATTAAATGACATGTCGTAAATCAAGGACTACATGTACCCAACAAATCTGTTCTCAACTGTAATTTTGAAACCAACATCATGAGAAGTTCATTATTAATATATTGAAAATCTTGAATATTTCTAAAAAGAAATATAATTTCTGAAATCAGAACCCTGGGATATTCTATAATATATAATTTAGTATAGATTACCTTACTATAGCAAATTTAGTACTAAGCTTACAAGGTATAACACCAGGTTTTGTTATAGCCATGGGGGGCGGGATTCTAAAATCCCAAATTAAAGAAATTATTATCACCCAACTATAGATTTTGGATTTTCTTTTCTTAGTATATAGTAAATGAAATGAATGCCTATGCAAATGTAAAATAAAAAGTGTCCCTCAAGCCTCAGTTGAGTTTTTGGTGAATTTGGGGGACAGGTTTTGGTAACTATTTTCATAAACAAATTAGCATTTGCTTAAACTATCCTGAGGTGTCTGAAGAAGAGTGGTATATAAATCTTGTTACAATTTATATTTGTAATCAATAAGAATTTTTATGGGCACACTTGGCATTTTTCCAATGATCTGGGAATAACTTTAAAAATTCAAAAGGCAGGTTATAAATGGACATCCATCCTTAAGATGGTTATGAACCATTACAAGATGTTCCAAATCAAATTACTGTGGAACTTTAATTTCAGTAGATCCCGCCCTATTGATTTAATAGGAATTAAATTCTAATTTCGTTGGAAATGAAGTGTGCTAAGTAAAGAAGGCTGAAGAAAACCAGCAAGCTAGTACCTCCTGGTATGGAGCACAGCAATCAAGAAGGACATTTCTGAACATTTGTCAGTTTAACCTTTTTTTATATAGCTGTCTGATAATCTGGGTGGCTGATTGGCCAATCTACTCAAATGCACTATTGCTAAAATTATCAGCAGGAAGCGAATCCATAAATTGCACCTGCTGAAGGGATTAAGTTTTCAAGCAGATATATAAAATTTAAGGAAAAATAGAGAAACAGAAATTGGACAGTAGAAGAGAAAGTAACGGGTACAAGAAGATACAATAATGAAAAATACTGTGAGAAGACAGACAGCAAAAATATTCCAGGATAGTTAGATATATTGGATTGATAAGAGTCAATTGCTTTATATTTTGGATAATTAATAGGGGAAAGGCAGTGCTATATTATCTATGCAACCAATCCTGTAGCAAAAGTGTGAAATTATTTCAGGGAGTGGGGAGAGAGATTGGGAAAGGTATATTAATAATATAGCAGTGCTATATTTAATTGATTTACTAAACACATTTGTATGTCACCACAACCAAAAATGACTCAGTAGCTCACGTAAAAAATATGATGCAAAATAAACCCCATGTAAAAATTAAAAATACATCTCCCTACAAAAATAGAAAGAGAATAACACATTGCAATAACAACTCAAATCAGGGCAGGATCTCAAAAAAAAGCTAGTTCTTTAAAAACTTGCAGAAAACAGACAGAGAGGGAGATAATCCAATCTCCCCAGGGAGGCTATTTCATAATATTGGCTTAGCAGGGCGGGGTGCGGGGAAGCAGCACCTTCTTCCCCAATCAACTCTAAACTTCCTTAAATAAGTATTTCCCTGAGGTCCTTGGTGCTTTCTGTGCTGGGTGGAAAACTACAAATATTCTCTTCACTAAGTATTTCTGTCATTTTATGTGGACTCTCATTATATTGCTGATTCTATTTTAAAACAATGCTTGGCTTTTATCTCCAGTTATCCTTTCTCCTTAAAATCAAAATCTTCCTGGAATATAAAGAATTAAATTTGAATAAAGAAACACTGTAGTCTGCACATCCACCATAAAGAAAATCAGATTTCCATTGATTTCCTGGACGTTACTGAAAATTGTTATTTTATCCTAAATAGATATGAAGGACAGATTCTGAAATAACTTCCCTACAATGTCTGAGGTTGATATCTCCATTCCTAACTCATTGTCTACTCATCATAAATATCTTTTAGGAGAAAGCATGGGAAACCCATTAGTAAAATAAGTTTAGAGTGCCAATTTTACATTCCCATTGAAGATGGTTCAGAATTGTGTGCAATTTAAAATAGACCTAGGGTTTCATTGATACTGATATTTAATTGAGCTATTAGTAACTAATAAGTCACATCCAAATAGCATAATAAAAACACAATTTGAAATTGTGAGAGATACAGCAATCACTTGTCCAATAGCAATTGCAATCTCACTGTTAATTTAAAGCTTTAACCTACATAATCTGACGATCCCTTTATCATTACATCAGAAAACAATAGCTAAAACTAAACATTATAAATGAGAGGAAATCAAAACAGTGATTATTAATTATTAATAGCTGATAAGCACTGATTCTAAAATGCCCAAATATATTAACAAGATTAAAGATTTGATAGAACTTGATATGATACACTGTCAACTTCATTTCAACACAAACTTAGAAACAGTGATAGATACCACAGGGTACCATTATATGAAACTAGAGCTGTTGATACACTATTACATGCAACCTAAACCAACAAACAAAACTATACTACCAAAGGCATTTTATCATTGGGGAGCCAGTTTGGTATAGTTATTAAGGCATCAGGTTAGAAACTGGGAAACTGGAAGGTTAGAAAATGAGTTCTGGCCCTGCCTATGTCACAAAGCAAGCTATGTGGTCTTTGGCCACAAACTTTCTCTCAGCCTTAGGAAGTAGGCAATGGCAAACCATATATATAGATCTCTTCAAAAATTCCATTTTCTATCATCCGTGCCAATTTCCAAAGCAACAGCTGGAATATCTGAGATTGAAATGGCCAAATGGCAATGTGGGAGAAGAAATGACATCAGAAAAATCTAAGGCTTCCTCCATACCTCTGCCATGTTCCCAGTACAAAAGGAAATTTTGACCAGCCATTGCTCACAATAGGAAGATATTTTCTATTTAAAATATGAAAACAATAAAATAATGATGTTCCTTTTACTACTAAATTTGCCAGAGGTTTCTAATGTGGGAGTATCTGGCCAAGTAAGTAGATTGCTCTACTGTGAATGAGAATAGAGGCTCAAGATACACATAACGGTCTTTGCATAATAATGGTGCAAAGTAGCATTTACAAACACCAAGTGTTACATTATAATTTTGCAGTGAAAGTTGTATTAATAGAAATCTTACCTCCCATAAATCCCAAGACAAAGGCTAAGCATAGCAAAAAGCAATGGGGAAACAAGCATTAAATCTTTATTATTTCAAACAACATAAAAATGCAAACATACCAAATGGCCCCAAATTTTTAATAATGTTATACATTGAAACTAAGTAATGTGGTTTATAGTTTTGGATAGTCCATTTCAGTAGTAGACTTGAAGGACCAAGTTAGGAACAGATCCTCCTGGAGATAATGATTCTATGTGGTCAGTAGACATTGACCTATTGGCCATGATCAATCAATTTCAGTTCTTTAAATATTTCAGTAGTCAAAAGGAGGAAGATGGCAAATAAGATGGATGGGGTCAAAGAAATGTCCTTCAAAGAAATCCAAGTTACAACTAAATACAATACAAGATGAAGAGTGTTTGCCTATGCAATCATCATGAGCATCTAATTCTCAATGGTATCTAACTAATAATGCTCTATCAGGTATGCCTGATTATTTCAGACTTAACCAAATCTTTAACATTGCAACTTGGTTAAAAACAAACCATTATTCCGCTCTCCAACCCTTTGCACTGTTTGTAATACAAGATAGGATTATTCTAAGAAATAATGGATGTGAAGCTCTTAAATACATTAAATAAACACCAAATATTACTGCTGTTCAACAAGGCATATGCAAGACTCAAGTATGCATTTAGTCACCAAGAAAGTGGTGGGATTCAGCCAGTTCGCACCTATTCATGAGAACCGGTTAACTTTCTAAGTAGTTCGGAGAACTGGTTGTTGGAAGAAATCTCATTTTTTTCCCCACTTTACAGGGCTAATCCTGTAAGGAAGGCAGGAACATTCTGGTGTTGTTTCTAGCCTAATCTTTATTGTCCTGCTTACAGAAACTGCTTCTCCAGTTAACCCTTGTTACAGTGTAACAACTGATGTAAAGCGCCCATCGACCTGAGTGACATTGAGTTGGCCATGCCCACCCAGTCACATGACTACCAAGTCACACCCACCCAGCTGGTCATTAGGGCAGAGAACCAGTTGTTAAATTATTTGAATCCCACCACTGCACCAAGAGTTCATCTGTCACACCATAACAATTCTCCCCATAAGAACCCATAAAGTCTCTACTGCCTGGTCATGGAGTGAAGGAATTACAACAGGTAAACCAACCTGAGTAGCAGGTGTGGGTGACTTCCCTACAAGGTTGTTATCTGCTTTAATGGGATCAAAATCCAGATCCAAAAGGCTGGCTCCTTCCTGGAAGGACCCAGGGGCATCAAACTTGGCAGCATTAAAGGGGGAAAAAATCAGTGTTTTTAGACAGTTAAACAGTTTTAAAAATAGATGATATATGGAAGATGTTATCTGCAAGATGAAGGTGCAAAATGTTATATATTAAATATATATTCATATATGTTGGTTGTCCCTAATGTACTTAACACTTCTGCATACAGTAGATCAAATATTCAAGTATTAACATTTTACAAAGCTCAGACCCTGCATTTGTTAGTTCACTGTCCTAGGCTGTCTATTAGATCAATTCCATACACCCAAACAAGAACTCTTTGACTGTCTCAGGCTACACTGATTCAAATCCTACAATTCCCAGCACAACTGTTGTATTGATACCACTTTTCTCCTTATCTTTTTTAAAAAGTGATTGGATAGCACTTTGTGTGAAAACATCTAATTTAATCTCACAATGTTTCTATACCACCATCTTTTTCTTTCTTTAAAACCTATCTCTGGTAACCCACCATATTTTTCAGACTATAAGACACACTGGTATATAAGACGCACTAAGATTTCGAAGAGGTAAGTAAGAAAAAAAAGTTTTTGTCCTACCCGGTTCCCAGGAGCACTCTGCAGGCTTCAGCAGGGCTGGGGTAAGACAAAAATGTGCTCCATTTTCACAAAAATGGGGGCATTTTTCCCTTCTCCCAGCTTGCTGAAGCCTGCAGAGTGCTTCTGGAAGGAAGGCAAAAATGTCCCGTTTTTTGCTCATTTTTCACAAAAATGGGATGTGGGGGCAGGGCTCCAGGAGGCCCAAAATGACTGTATTTGGTGTATAAGACGCACCAACATTTCCATGCTCTTTTAGGGGGGAGGAAGGTGTGTCTTATACTCCAAAAAATATGGTATTTATCTGAAATGATATAGGGCATCCTGCCTGAGCAGGGGTTGGACTAGAAGACCTCCAAGGTCCCTGCCAAATCTGTATCTGTTTCTGAGTGATTCCTCAACTATTCTACCATATTAAGGCAGTTTCCTTACTGGGCTCTTATTTTGAAATAATAATAAATTACAGAATACCGTAAACATTTAGGTTATATTGCATCCAAGCAAAACAGAAATACCAGCACCCTCTTATTAACAAGCAGATCATGTAATCTTGCCAAGTGATACTATCAAACAATATTTTCATAATACTGCTTAATATAATTCAAAAAAACTAAATCATTTCCTAATTTCTACTGGGTAATACAAAATAATTGTCAACACCAAATCTCTACCAAAAACATAAATATATCAGTTAATGGATATCTGGTATTTTTCAACTAAAGAAATCTAATATTTCTAGATTATTATTTAGCATATTATATAATTTCTCAATTTTTACTTTCTTTATAAAAAGAAGAAAACCCACTGAAATCCATTCAACTGAGATGTCTCCTGTTCCTTCACCTCCACAATATAAGCATTAAACAGTCATAGTTAACCTGTATTTTTCACTTAATGATCCTGAAAACAGTTTCTTTGGAAACAAGGTCCACTTTCTAAGTTTCGTGTATATGAAATAAAATTTTAAAATAAGGTCATAGCCATGCTGGATTCTTACCTGTTGCTTGTACCAGATGTTGAAGAGTCTTTTTTCCTTGACCATTTTCTCTATCTTCCTAAACAATTGACCCCGCTAAAAATAGAAACGTGTCCGTATACCTATCACTCCCCATCCTTATCCACTAAAAATTCAAGTTGTTTTCTAAAGATAGTCTCCAGTTCAAGTATCCTACACTCTGAACCTGTCCCAATCACAATGTTCTGTTTATGTAAGGGATTTTTCACAAATACATACAACACAAAACATGGTGTAAAAAATGCATGAGGCATGCTACGGGGAAAGGATAAGAGCAGACAAGGATGGAAAGACTGATCAGTGGCCTACGGCTTTCTCAAACATTAAAGCATGAACAAGTTTTGCAATTGTAATTCCTGAATGGAAGAAATTCTGTCAAAAAAAAGTTCAAATTGTTTATTTTTTAGCCTCAAAATAAAATAGCAACGCTTGCTTGTGTGTTTAATACACAGACATAAATTTGTCTTCTGTCTGTCATTGAGAACCACACTTGATGTGACATGCTTACTCCAACCATATATCGGAGTTTTTAAGGGCTAGAATCTTTGTACATCAGCATATACTTTAGGAAAAATGGCAACCCAGAAGATGTCTTGTTTTTTCCCTCATATCTTTCCCCCACTCTAACTCCCTAACTCCAAAAGCTATTTGGACGACAAGTAAAAAAAGACACAGTATCTAAAACTTTTGCCAACTTCTATTCTTATAGCAGTTCACAAAGTTTTTAGATAGAGAAGAGTTCTAAGTTTCTGCAAGGCCTAAATTTAATGAGATAATAAACTAATATCCCAAGTGTAACACTTCGGTCTGCAGAGAGAAAAACAAATGTTAAGTATGTTCACATGAATAAACTGGTCCTTTTTCCCCCTTTCTTCTATGGGTTCCCAGTTGAGTTTGAAAGGTCTCTGATACTCATCTGATGCTCACTGCCAGTGTTAGCACAGGGTGATTCCATATTACTCTTTGTCTAGTACTAATTGAGAACTAAAGTTTTACCAAAAAGAGATTGAAAACTTGTTAATCGTCATTTTGTATCTCATTTTCTATCTGAGAGTGAAAAGGAAGTTCTGATCCACCAAGCTATTGAACGCTACATGCAGTGTCTATCTGCCTCTGTGGGGTGTCCCATCACATTGGCAACCTGAGGCCTACACTTGCCTTTTCTCCCAAATTCAGGCCTTTCTCGCAAAGTCTCAGTCGTCGAACAGGAGGAAGAGGTAAAAGCCGCAGGCCACCGTGCTGAGGTAGGGAAGGAAGAATGGAGTCAGGAAACATACATTCTAGAGGTGTCATTGATTGCTTTTTATGAATTTTTTTTTTAAAGAGCATTTATCACAATGATGAGGAGGAGGAGGAGGATGACAAAAGTTGTGAGAATGAGTCCAGAAAACTGGTCAGGCTGCTTTTTTAATCTCATCATAGTATCTAAAGTTGGGTCATCAAAAAGCGGTTCACCTATTGGTCAGGTAAGTCCAGTGGTGGGTTTCAAAAATTTTTGGAACCTCTTCTGTAGGTGTGGCCTGCTTTCCGGGTCCACTGGTAGAACCTCTTCTAACCAGTTCGGTATCCAAGGACCAGTGGTGGGTTTCAAAAAATTTTGGAACCTCTTCTGTAGGTGTGGCCTGCTTTCCGGGTCCACTGGTGGAACCTCTACTAACCAGTTCAGTAGATTTGACGAACCGGTTCTACCGAATAGGTGCGAACTGGTAGGAATCCACCTCTGCTGATAGCTCTTGAAAATCTTGAAGATCACACCTTAGAGCAGTAGTGAGATCCTGCCGTTTTAACAACTGGTTTAGTGATTGCGTGCTTTGCATGCTCCGCGCACATGTGCAGTTTTAAGAAAACTTACCTTCCTCATTACTTCTGGGGAGTAACACAGTTGAGGTTGGCAATCCCAGCCCTGCTTTAGACAAGGTGGACTTTTCTGAGGGTTTAGCACCAGAACAAATGTGGCTTATGGTTCTGAAGCCAGCCAAAAACCCTGATTCTGACATTTTTTTAAAAAAAAAATCAAATGCTTCCCCTTGACTCCTCTGCCTTCCATTGCATTCATCCATTTAAAATGTCAGATAAGGCTAATCCTCATATTACTTTATTACAGATAGCCACATGGCTGCCTTTACTTAAACCAGATGTTCTTTGTCTGGCTAATCTGGATGAAATTGTGTTATTTAAACAAAACCTATGCATTTGTTAGGGTAACAAATATATACAGATTTCCTGAAAAAAACTTGCAATAGTTAACAGAACAGCACAATCTATTTACAACAGTTCTGTCGCTTTGTAGACCCTTGTCATAAATAGATTTAGATGAACTAGTTTAGTTTAGTTTAGTTTTATTGATTTTGTATGCTGCCCACTCCCGAAGGACTCCGGGCGGCTTACAATAAAACAAGGGAGGGGGATAATACACAAAACAACATATTAAAATATACAACAGTCACAATTTCCGAGGGGCTGGATATTTTGAGAGCCCCCCGACCTGCTGGAGCAGCCAGGACTTAACGGCTTTGCGGAAGGCCGGGAGGGTAGTAAGGGTCCGNGTTCGGTAGATTTGACAAACCGGTTCTACCGAATAGGTGCGAACTGGTAGGAACCCACCACTGGGTAAGTCCCTTAGAAATTTGCTCTTTAGAGATTAGCTTGGGAGGTCATCAGATTCTGATGGGCTGGTGAATGTTAGCAAATTGTAAAAATAAATCATTGGGCAAGGGAATGACCTCTCTCAATATAATCCCAAAGCTCTTAAAACCATTGGGAGAGAGGACATTTGTGATGGGAAATAATTGGCAAGAAGAACTAGTCAGCCCATGTTTGATCTGAATAAACAAGGAAGGCTGTTAAAAACACAATAAAACTTCAGATTATTCTTGCACAAGCCTTTTAAAAGGCAGTGTCCTGCCCATATATTAGCTCAGAAAAATAGCAGCACAAAATGATCTCAGGGCCACTGCCTTTTAAAAGAAGTCAAACAGGTGGGAACCCCAACTGTTTGGAGTTCCAATTCACACAATTCAACTCCATTCTTTGGGATAGAGGAGACTTAAATGTCAAGAACTTCATTGGTGTAAGGGTTTCTCAAACATTATGGGCCAGAGCTCATCATAAATAAAAATAGTGATTTCCATTAGGGAAAAAAATATAGCACTTTTAATAATTATATATTAAATTATATATAAGGAGCAGTTCCAGTACGGGGATCATTTGATGTGAGTGTGGTTTAAAAATTTGTTGTCTTATTTTCTATGCTTTTTGCATTCCACTAGATTCCCCCCACACACACACATACTTTTCTCCTATTCAGATCAGAAATCCTGATGAAGAACACCAAGGAAGAAAGCAGGTGCTCTGTTTATAATATGCTTCCTTCTCTGTTGTGTTTCCAGTTATGAATCCATCAATGTTTAGGGGTTTCAATTCACTATCCCTTTGGCCCAATTCAAATCCCTTTGACTGCTTACCCTCTGAACAGTTTTCTTGGCTTGACACCTCTAGTAAGGAAAAGAGTGGAAAAGTGGAGGGAGGACAAATAGAAGAGAGGACAAGAGAGGGCAGGGAAGAAGGAGAAGCTAACCTGTGAGGGGGTTGTCACACTGATCTCTGGGACAAAATTGTCATCAAACAGGTTGATGATGTTCTCCTGCTTCATCTCCTTGGATGGAGTGAGTTTTGGAGGTGGTGGCACAGGAGGGCCTTTCCTCAACTGCATGCAAGTGAACACATGGCCACGGCACAAACAGCAACACCCAAAAAACCAGAGACAGGGAACCAGGTTAGCAAAGTAAAAACAGTTGCCCACTCATATTACATACAAAGAGGGTCAGAACAAAAACACATGGCAATAAGAGGAAACAATCACACTCTTCCAAAAAGCTTTGCATCATTAGTTACACTTCAGTCGTGGGCAGGTTTCCCTTCTGCAGAAGAGAAGCGTAACATAATTAATGTGCATAAGATAGGACATGCAAACATATTTAGAGTCTGTACAACTTTCTGGAACAACAAGGTAGGAAATTGCATATTACTTTTTTTTAATGTTCTATGAAGCCAGAGATGCTAGCAGGCCTACATGTGCAGAAATATCTACTTCCATAGAGAAAAGGGTTTCTAACCAGCTTTGACTGATTCCAATGCAGAAGACTCCCAATAATGTAAATCTCAATAATCATTATTATAATGTGGTAATAATGTTGCCAATGGGGTAGTTTAAACATTACTCAATGTTAATTAATAGACATTAGATCTGATTATTTTGGAATCATGACATCACGCAGTAGAAGATATTAAGCTGGTCTGAGAATCCCTGTTCTCCTAACATCATGGATTTACATCAAGGATTTTGACTTATTTTAGTATCATCAGGTATACAGCATCACATCAATAGGATTGTAATATATAATCAATATGTAATTGATTTTCTCTTCTGTACTATAACATTCTTTCTCAGATCTCTTCACAGTGTTAGGTTTCTAAATTCAGTGGGATGAATCTCAGTTCTAGGTAGAATGTCAGAGCAGTAAGTTGATTTTCAAAATTCAAAATAATTTGATTGTTCTAACAATGTTTCTCAGTCAAAATGATATATGTACAAATCTACCATGCCCTGTTTTGTAAGAATAAGCGATTAATCATTGACAAATTTCTATAACTGGTGTGTGCTAGGTCATGGGAAAGGTCAAAGGACAATTCACACAATTTGTACACTTGCTTTTTGGCAATTCTTAGAACTTGATAAGCTTGTTCAAAATTTTACTGCATTCTCTTTTTTCATTTTTCATTTATTCGATCATTTTATTTATGATCGAAGCACAACCTTAAAAGTAAAAACACAACTGTGCAGAGAAGAAAAAATAATGTGAAAGATAATAGTAACCCCCCAAAAATAAATAATAGATTGTTTTTCAGAATTTTTCAAGAATCCGTGCTGATTGAGCAAAATTTCATGTCTTCTTTAGATATAAACATATGGAATCATATCACCCAATTCTATTTCTAACACTACCTGGGTTATCTAGCAACGATTATATGAATCTTTTTGAAGTCTTTTATAAAATGGATAACAAATTAACATATAGTGTATCCATTTTGGCCCTCCTTGATCTCTTAGTGACCTTCAATACCATCATGATTTTATCCTTCTGGGCCAATTCAAGGGATTAAGGGTAGGAGATATGGTGTTACAATGGTTCCCCTATTTACTCCAGGGTCAGTTCTAGTCAGTGTTGGTAGAAGGAGAGGTTAAGTCTGAAGCCCTCATTTTGCAGTTGTAAATTAACGCTATAAATAAATAAATAAATAAATAAATAAATAAATAAATAAATAAATAAATAAATAAATAAATAAATAA